TTGCACGTCCATGTATAACTCCAAAGCAGGGAGTACGGACGTGCTCATAAGCAGGGATGGACCGAGGGGGTGTTGGGGTGCAATTTAAAATTTCCTGGTATATTAGATATTTTCTTTGTATTTTATATGAATTATTTAATTTCGCACTCCCTGAGGTTTTATAATCTGCACCCTCTAAGATTTTAATATAATCTTTTATGTTTGCACCCCCTGACATAAATTCATGCATCCGTTCCTGGTCATAGGCATTAAACAACATTAAGGAGCGGTTAACAAAAACCGCTCACAACAAAATCAAACTGAAAAAAAACCGCTCACAACAAAATCAAACTGAAATACAAATAAAAATTCACTTGAATATAAATCAATAATGTTTGAAGATTTAAATTAGTATTTAATGGTATAGAAAATTTTAAGGTAATGATTAAACAGTCTCCATATGCAGGTGGCATGATTTTGTCTAAATGTGATTGTTCGAATTTATCCAACTTTATTAGTTAAAAAAATGAATTTAGTAAAAAATAGTGGTCCAAATCGTGTAAAGAACTAAGATTTCATTTAAGTACGAAAATTTAAAGTATATAGTATTTTTTATTTAGATATTTACAATATGTTTATAAAATAGTACATTGATTTTTTTATCTAGATATCTAATTTATTTACATGACTAGAAAAATATTATAGGAACCTAGATTAAAAAAATATTATAGGTGCCTATATATATTTAGATATCGAATTCATTATAAAAAATATTATAAGTGACTAGATTAAAAATAATATATATTGGTAAAAAAATATTTTAAATAATTAAATAAAAAATGCTTGAAAAAAGAGGTGGAGAGTCCTCCGTCATCTAATTCTTAATTTGTAAAGGCTTAGAAAAAGAAATAAAAAAAAGATTTTGCAATTAAGCCAAAGCATAATTAATTTTTTATTAATTTACGATAAGTATAAGATAATATATGTTCAAAGATAACTCTCAATCATTTGACAATGAATGCTCACACCCCTAATATTTCAGATGTTCAAATCAAGAACTTCAAAGAATAATTTACCACCGATGTCGTTTAGTTTGTGTCAAAGCCTAATTAATTTAAATAAAGAAAATGGGGCACTATGTAAAGATGAAATTTGGAAAGGAAATTATGTTATGATGGAGTAGGGGCAGAAAAATCGGGGTCAAATGATGAACTTTAGCAATTTCTGCGTGACTTTATTTCATTTGTTACTTTTTAACTCGGAAATATGGAATTTCATATTATAAGTTTTCCTTTCTAAACTTGCTATTGGTTCATCACATGTTAAATTCACCATCCATATTTACCTGTCATTTTCACATTTTTTTCATATCCGATTAATTCATTGATTAATTCATTGATTTATTCCGATAGAGTACTACGAAACCTTACTCAAAGTGTTGTAATATTAAGTAAATGTTTATAAGGAATAATTTAATTAAACTTGCGAATAACTACCTATGAACATGGAGATCTATTACAGGCAATAACTATGAATGACCAACAGTATTGTGATGTAGGTTCGAGGTGAAAATGGATCAGATAGGAAGCTAAATATCATTCGGAGGCACATTATGAGTTCAATTTTAATCTGTTTCTCCACATTTCTCCGATTACTTTCCTAGGTGCCGGATCATCGGGACTTTTGTCTCGTTGCCCGGATGTAAAATTGCCAGAATCCGACGAGGGTGGTTTTAACTCGGTAAGGAAGTTTTCCAATCACGGACCACTCCTGCAAAAACAGAACCACAAAGATCAGAACCTCAAGACTTGGACACCCTTTCACCAAACAATATTTACAACCGTCTGTTGATGCTTCAAGGACAAGTGCAGGTTAAAATGTCGTAAATGTACTCAATTCTCAATTGTTTAATGCAGGATAAAATGCCAAGTGGCGCTACCAGGAAAAATTAACATAATGAAACTAAGAAATGGAGGTTAAGAATACATCTACGTGTAAAAAAAATTAGAGGATCCTTGAGGCATGCTTAGCATAATTTTTTTTTGGGGGGGGGGGGGTTCAGGCATGATTACACAGACGTTCAATTGCACAAATGCACATGCACATAGATTACCTATACACTTTTGTGTATGAATAAGAAAACACGAACCAAAAATCTGTAAAGCGTGGGTGAGCATAAATACGAAAATCTTCAATTATAGACCATAAAAAAGTTAAGAAGAAGAAGATACCGGTGTATCAAAATTAAACTGGAACTCTTCTCCAACCAGAATCATCTTTTTTGTTATAGGGTGTTTCTCTGTCGTACCTCCGGCGATAATAATGGAATTGTTAACAAGCGCCCATGCAAATTCGATGTGCGAATCTGGTTTTGGCACAGGAGGTAATGTTTTCCACTTCATGTCTCCATCCAGCATGTAAACCTCACTATATACTACCTGAAGAAAGATTAGAAAATATGTTAAATATACGGCTCGATTAAATTAATGGAAAATATACTTAGGGATGACAACGGCGCGGTTTCGGGCCGGGGATTAGTCCCCCCGTCCCCGCTTAAAAACCCGTACCCGTCCCCGCTTAAAAAACCGCGGGGAAACGTGATATGATCTCGATTATTTGTTTCGAGTCATATATGAGAATGTCCGATCGTGATTCTAGTAAGAAACCCCGTAATGATAGCTTGAACTCTGAAATTATATAAATATAAACATAAGAAGGAAAATGATATGAAATAATAATTGCAATGATGGAATGAAAAGAATGAGAAAGTTGTTTGAAGGTGATGGAAGAGTGATGGTTGTTGTGGTTTAATGATAATGAAAATAGATGGTGAAGTATGAATGGTGTTGTCGTGGCAAATGTTGTTGTCGTGGTAAGTGTTGTAAGGTTAAAGCGGATTGTGACTCGTTAGCTATTTGGAGCTAAGAACCAACAATATAAAAAAAATTAAATCGAAATGGTAGGGTATGGAACGTGACCCACTAGCTATATATGAGCTAGGAGCCAACGCTATAACAAAAGGAAATGGATGAAGACTACAAGACTATCTTGAAGCCGATAAAGTTCTACAAGAGAACAAGAATGAAAGCAACTGCTCAAAGATGTTTTATATATTCAAAAATGTGTCCACAAATGATCCCAAAGGTGCCTATTTATAGTATTTCTAAGAAGCATATGAAAAGACTCAAAAGATGAAAACATTCTCATCAATTTAGCAATAAAATGCACTTGAATGCTTTGTCTTCTTATCTTCAAAGTTGGATGAATATTCTAGATCATTTTGGGATGAATCTAGACAATTTGAAATTGAATTTGGCCTTAATTTCGTCCAAGGGAAGGAAGACTCTTGCTATTCCATGCTGAAAATTGTCTTAATAAGTGAATTAAATCACCCTTCATTGCATCTTGAAGAATATGAACAACCCTTGAACTTAGATGATAATAATCACCTTTGAATGCCTTTAATGGGTGAATTAAGAGTCCTTCAATGGCTTGTCACTTGGCTGAAGTTGAAAAGACTCTCCCTTGTCTCAAACTCATCCAAATCATCCATGCATAAAATTCCCGTAACAATTCCAGCCTGCATTGTCTTCAATAAATCGATCATATCTCAAGCTCCCGATATCGGATTAAGGTGATTCAAAAGGCGTTGAAAAGCTAAGAGATAGAGGAATAATGTCAAATTGATTTCTAGAACCAAATACATCTGTATCGCATCCAGAATTGGAAGACATTCTGACTAACATTCTTGCATATGATGAAACCATTCAACTTCTCTCATGCACCTAGACACAAAGGTGAACTTTATTCAATATTTAATTGAAAACATGCATGAAACAATTAAGATTTAATCTAATAAATGAACTAGATGATTTAAATGCAATGCATGCTTGAATGAACAACACACTTATTAAATGCAATGAATGTTATGCAAACTTTAAATTCTCATGCAAATTCATGCAAAAGCAAAGTAAAGTGTTCCTCCCTTATTATTCCTTCTTCATCACGTTCCAAACATGATGTGAACATACTCTCCATGGCTGCTTGAAACTCCTTAGCCCTTGCTCGTGTGATGGGGCCACTTGGGTACTTCTCCGGATCTTTGCTATTGGCGATCATATTAAAACGGATATTCCCGTTTAGCATAAATCGTTATTTAAACGGGTAATTTTCACCGCGGGGATAACCGCAATGAAAATTACCCGTTTAAATAACCGTTTACCTTATATGGTTATTTTTCACCGCGGGGATCCCTTTTACCGTTTAAATTTCACACGATGACACGAGTTATTTAAAAAATAATGTCATTATCGGATCTAAACTTAGTTAAAACGCCAAACACCACCAAATGCATCCAAAATATAAAAACAAAACAATTCAAATAGACAAATATAATGACAACGACTAATAATATAATGTTTCAACTTTCATAAACGAAATCATTCTTCCAAAGTTCCAACTTCCAAGTCACGTCAACGACACCACCACCGTCAACAAATTGTTGTAACCCCCGATTGCTAGAATTACACAAAAAAATGATAAGCCACCAAAATTATAAGATACAGGGAAAGTGACGAGTAGGTCAAGATGTGTTCTCCTAAATCCTAATCTCCTTTATATATGTTTTTTAATTTAATTTAAATTTATTAATATTATATATATATATATATAATTATTTTTAATATTTATCAGGCCGGGTATCAGGCCGGGTATTCGGGTAATCAGGGTGGGGATTACCAAACCCGTCCCCATTTAAAAAATTCTATTTTTCCCGTCCCCGTTTATCATCCCCGAACCCGACCCGTTTAATTCGGTTTTCGATTTTCCCGGTTCGGTTTTTTTTGCCATCCCTAAATATACTATTGATACAAAACTTATCAGCAACAGATAGGTCAGACAACCAGTGGAGAACTCATTGCACTTAGAAATCAGATTGATTAAATATTTAAACCATCCATTAAAAGCCTTATGAACCATGTTATCTTGTTATCTTTTGCATCATTCAAATATTTATGTCAAACATGAGCGATAAACATGGAGTGTCAAAACACGGGGTGTCGAATATCAGAGCCGGGGAAGAATGGACGGTTTTTGTGGACAATCTAAACAAACGGGTATCGAGAGGAGCCTTCATGGAGGTGTTTAACCATTATGGGAAGGTGACTTCAGTTTTCATTTGGCGATACAACAAAAAACCAAGGTACAAGAACATCACCTATGCCTTTGTTTGCTTTGCTACTCGGGGTGATATGGATATTGCTATCAACAAGATGAACAACGCTCGGATTGATGGTGGGAACATTTCGGTCTCGATTGCAAAGTTTCCTTCTCGGACTCCAGGTCAGCCCAAGAAGAAAAGGAGCTCAGAGATGGCGAACAAGCCTGGGTCGAGCAAGTAAGAAGAGGGAAGTAAGAGGAAGTACCATAAAGTTTGGGTTGCAAAGACAAGGTATTCCAAAAATGTATGCTGAAGCTCTACTAGGAAGGAGGAAGATTTTAGAGGAGGTGAGCCTAGAAGCTGATAGCGATGAGAGGCAGGAAAAGAACAGGGGTAATCCTAATAGTCTTCAGGATTTTGAGATTCCAGCAAAGAAAATGGAGTGGGTGGATCTTTCTCTGACAGAAATGATCAATGAGAGGTTCGAACTGGAGTTTGTTCAGAGAGCAATTGAAAAGGATGGGATTCCAGCTAAAGTAGCGAGATGGGGCAATTTGCCGAGATCATACATCGTCATCTTTCGGTCACTGGTCGAAATGAAAGAAGCATGGAAAAACAGGGATGATGGTTGGGGCTTTTGGTTTAGTTATCTTGCTCCATTAAAAAATGAATCCGGTCTTGCATCAGCTTATTACTCGTGTCATTTGAAAGGAATCCTTTTGCAATTGTGGCATGTAAGTTTCTTCTCTAAGCTTGGAGGGATCATATGTAAACATAGAGGATTCAACGAGTAATCTGGAGGATCTTGGCATGAAAGTTTCTTCTCTACGCTTGGAGGGATCATATATAAACATAGAGGATTCAACGAGTAATCCGGAGGATCTCTCTACAGCCAAAATAATTATCAGGGCGACTAGCATTTTTGATATCCCAAATTCTATTAAGGTACGTTCTGGTGGGAGAATGTTCATCGTTAAAATCGCGTTTCTAGAGGGGGTGTTTGGTACAGGATGATAAGATTCTAGATGAGGGCTCCTTAAGGTTTGCTGATGAATGGAATTCTGAGACGAGCGACAATAAGAGCCAATCCTTTTCTGATGATGAATCGGCGGAGTTTTCCCCTCCAGCGATAAAAAACACTCCGGCACTTGGTCGGGATCTGGAGGAGAGTAATCTCAACAGTAAAACTTTGGTTTCTACAAAGAGGTCTCCCAAAGTGGCGCCGTCAGTTTCTCGTGCTAATTTAATTTCACAACACGCAGGAAAGGGAGGATATTTCCACGGGGGGTGGTTATGAGGACAACTTAATCATTACGGCTGACTCAACTGTCGAGAGCAGAATGGGGGTATCTCGGGAGCCGTTGGTGAGGCCAATGGTAGGATCTGATATTTCTTTTCCTAGTATTTCTCCTAATGAGTTTGTGGGTTGGCATCAAGAGGATAATGGGTTTGGTAGGTTAAATGAAACACTGGAGCCTGTTGAAAAGCTATTTAGCCCATCGAACCAGCTTCTTGAGACTCAAGCACTTGAGCCTCCATCGACCCAAATTTCGGACTCAGTTGACCTGATACCAGATAGTATAGTTAATGGTGAAGACTTTTCTAATCCTATCCTCAACGGTTGTGAGTTGGGGAATACGTCGCAGATCACTCCTCCCTAGTTGTCCCTAATACCTTGTTCATATACTCAAGCAAAGGCACTAGAAGCTCAACGGCTAATTTTAGGAGAGACGTTCGGAGGATGATCAGGGAATCTTTAGAAAATGCCAATCACTTGATAGGTGGCACTGTTCGAGATAGGCTCGATGAGGGGGTGAACGAGGAGGCTGAAGTTGTATGGGAAGTTAGAAATATCCTGGAATTATCCTTCAAGGGAGGTAAACATGCAGTTATAAAGAAGGTTCGGGCCCTCCAGGAGGAATTAAGGCATGTAGTTTTAGAGGTTGGAGTTTAAGCCAACTTTGCGCTCGGGTAGTTTCTAATCTTCAATGGGGGGATCCTGACCTTGTGGGATCCTTCTTCCTTCCAGGAGCCAGATAGGATCATCAATCAAAGGTTCATTGTGGTGCTTGGGACGATACTAAGCACTAACATCATATGCAGCTTCATTAATGTCTATGGTCCATTCATAGACACTGAGGAAGAAAGCTTTTTCTGGGAATTAGCCGAGTTCATGGAATGTTTCTCAAATTCTTGGTGTGTGGGAGGGGACTTCAACGCATTCCTCTCCTCCGAGGAAAACATAAGTGCTTCGATAAATTTTAGAGCTGTTGGTGGTTTAGAAAGTTTATTCAAAGAGTTGAATTGATTGATTTACTGGTGGAAGAGGGATATTTCACTTGGTCGAACAATCACGACAAGGCTACTTTCGTAAGGTTAGACAGATTCCCAGTATATAGATAATTTTTGCTATCTTTCTCGCCGATAATTCTGAAGCTGATGCCGAAGACGGTTTCTGATCATAATGCGGTTCCGCTTGCAGAGGTGGCCAAGAATTGTTGGAGAAAACCATTTAGATGTTTCGATTTTTGGCTTAACAATGGGAGTTTTGAGGCTGCGTTAAAGATTGCCATTTTCGGGGTCAAGAACAGGGGTAGCAACTCTAAAATAGGGAGAATATTAAAAGATGCAAACGACGAGCCCAAGTCTGGTCTAAGAAGCAATGTTTTGAGTTTAAACGAGTCATAGGAGACCTAGAGAGAGATTTACGGGATCGAATTAGAGCTCCAGTCCAAGGGCGATGATGAGGCTCCCTTGCCAGAATTCCAAAGCCTTAAATTGAGATTATGGGAAGAGTGCAGGAAGGAGGAAAGATCCAGGTTACAGAAATCCAGAGTTAGATGGATTATGGAGGGCGATTGAAACACCAGGTTTTTCCACATCTCTGTCTGGCTGGAAGTATTGGGGATGACTATGCCTTTTAATAAACTAAATTCGGACCAAGTATGTGTGCTGGAGAGAGTTTTATTAACAGGAAGTTTACCAAGTACTCAGGAACTCCGATGGAAACAAGGCATCGGGGTAGGATGGTTTCAATTTCAACTTCCTCAAGAACTTCTGGCTAGATTTAAAGGAGATCTTACTATTATTTTTATGACTTATAATTCTGGTAAGTTGGATGGGGTTTTAAATCATTCATATATTTCGCGAATCCCCAAAAAAGCGAACCCTTCATCACTAGAAGACTACAAACCTATTAGCCTTGTTGGAAGGATTTATAAGATGTTAAGTAAGGTGTTAGCCAACCATCTTAGACTTGTTTTGGGTTCTTTGGTTAGTAACTCTCAATTCACATTTATACCGGGGAGGCAAATTCTCGATTGTTCGCTGATGGCGAAAGAAGTGATCGACTCATTGGGGAAGAGCATCAGATCAGGCATGATGATTAAAACAGATTTAAGAAAAACATATGATACGGTCGGCTGGGATTTCCTCATTTGGATAATGAAAGAAATGGGCTTTGGAACTCGATGGTACAACGGGATCTTTAATTTCATCTCTACTACCTCTTTTTCCATTCTCGTTAATGGATCCCTAACAAGCAGATTTCAACTAGCAAGAGGTCTTAGGCAGGGGTGCCCTCTTTCGCCGTTACTTTTCAATCTGGTAGGTGAAGCCTGTAACTTGATGATAGTGAAGGCAGTAAACGTGGGCTTATTTTCAGTGTGTTTAGTAAAGATGGCAATTTTACCCAAACCCGACGAGTTCTGACCCGATAGGGTCGGATTTTTTTTAAAATTCAAGGTCGGGTCGAGTCAAATTTTTTGAGGGGTGAGATCAGGTCTGGTCGGGTTCGAGTGGAGGGTGAAAAATTCTAACCCGACCCAATCCAAGGATAATAATGTAATTTCCTTAAATTTTTATTATTTTTTAATTAAGTTCTTATTTTATATCGGGTCGGGTCAGGTCGAATTTATACTCTAAAAATTTGAATCGGGTCTATTGAGTCAATCGAAAGGATGAAATAGCCAAGAGGGGGTGAATTGGCAATTAAAAATTTGGTGGAAGCTTAAGGGGAAAAATTAAACAAATTAAGACAAGAAATTTAGAGTGGTTCGACTTTATCAACCAAAGTCTACCTCCACTACCTTAGCTATTCACACTAAGGATTTCCACAAATTCACTAATTTGTATCTACCTTTGAGGATAAGGTGTAACCTTACAACTCCCTCAAGAATTAACCACAAATTCTTGAGACACTCTCTCAAAGAGAAAAATTACAAATTGCAAACTTATAAAAAACCTCACAAGAAATGTGTTTGCACAATTCAAGAACAAATAAGAACACTTAAGAAAGGAATACAAATAAGTACAAGAAGTGTTCTTTGAAAGCAAAAAGAATATTGAAGAATGTTAACTTGATTTAACTCAAACTTGATGTTTATGGTTTTCTCTTTTGTCTCTTATATTCACAAACGGCTTGGGATCTTGTTTATATACTTCCTAATTCAATTTTAACCTTTTGAGTTGTTGTGGGAGTGAATAGAGCCATTGGGGGTAATTTTCAGCATTAAATGCTGCTCAGAGGCTTGTAGTATCGGTACTACGTTTATCAGTATCGATACTCCCTGCATTAAATACAAAAATTTGACCGTTGGGAAACATCGGTATCGATAATGTCACATGGTATCGGTACTACTATATTTAGTAGTATCGATACTGTATATATTATCAGTACAATTTCAGTATACTGGAATTTCACAGACTTAAAACCAAAAGGAGTAGTATTGGTATCATAACAAAGAGTATCGCTACTACTACATTAAGTAGTATCAATACCGTATATGGTATCTGTACCATTTTAGCCTTCTGTTTTTACAGTATCGGTACTGCCTCAATAGTATCAGTACTACTTCATTGTTTTGGGCTTCAGTATTGATGATATCTGTATTGATACTTCTTTAACAGTATCAGTATTGTTCTAGTAGTATCGATATTTCTTTGCTTAAAATCATTTTTGACTCGATTAAAGTTCGAAACCCTTAGCAAAAATTATTTCAAAAATATTTCCAGTATAGGACTCAAATTTTCAATAAAGTGAGGAGTAAAAATTGACGTTTTAACTTTAAAGAAAAATTATATATATTCGAATGATTAAATCGAATATAATCTTAAAATTTGTAGAAAATAAATAACAATTTTGTTTTGTATATCAAAATATCAAAGTGTTTTCAACAATCTCTCTCTTTTTGATATAACAAATTTTAAGATTTACTTTGAAAAATTACTCCCCTTACTTTA